ACATATAGAGTTATAGACTGTTATAAAAGTTATATAGACTGTTATATATATATATATATACATATATATATATGTATATATATATATATATATATATATATATATATAACAGTCTATGTTGATTTCCAGAATTTACACATGAACAATGGGAAAGAAACTGTTATTGACCTGCCCCCGTAATATCACTAAATCTGAAGTTAAAGCCAGATTGATTTGCAGCTAATCTAACCATCTATTTACTAACTGGTCGGTTCGCTAGAAATTTCGTTGCAACGAGTGCATCACAAAGACAGATCTAACTAAAAAGTGAACAACTTCCTCTACTGTTATAATGACGTCTTAAACCATCCACAAAGAATACTTTTTAAAACAAATTCGAAGACCTTATGTCCTAGTACGCCCAAGTTTCACAAGGATAAAAACAACTCTTGAAAAACTCTAACTTCCTTCAAACTACACAGTATTTGAGCCTCTGGAAAAATTACTAACTGTGTAGGTCGCCGCAAAAATAATGACCGTTTTCGCCATCTTAAAATTTATAAGTGAATATTACTCGATGCTTGATAGTTGAACGGCCTGTCCTTATTGGCTGCGCGGGCCCTAGCATAACCTCCATTCTTCAGAGATTTGCTGGTCAAGCCATTGTGGTTCCCTGGAATTCCGAGGTCAACCTGGCCAAAATCTGCCCGTCTTAACCACCACAGGCAGTCGCAGCCCTTGTGAATCACAGAGAGGTTTGCCACTATGCGACTTTGATACCAAGACGGTGGTGGATCCTGGTATTGGTTTACTCTTAGCTAGGCTTCCTGATGAAAACGTCGGACACCTTCTCAGCATGGGAGAACCTGCCAGAAGGATGAATACCCCAGCTGTACATCGCAGCCCGACACCCAGGAACACCTTCCAGCCACAATGATGCGTTAAACCGTTGGGAGGTGATTGAAGACTAGTAAAGATAATGTTTGAAGTTATAAAAATAGCACAGTGTCTCATGAATTCAAATATTGTCATTTCGAACACAAAATACACCCATGTTGCTTAAGATTTGGTAGCGGAAAACGTTGTGGGCGCCTGTAAGCAGTTGAAGACGACCATGTGAAGACGAAAACGATCGAAAATGTCTTTCCAGAGACAACTTAAAAACTTATATAAAAAATCAAGATTTAAAGCGGAGTAGTATTTTTGAAGACCCATTTTTATTTCAACTCATATGCATAATCAGTGTATTTCCTTTCACAGATAAGTTAGCACGAAGTTATAAAAATCTTATTCCGCTAATGTTTCGGCGCCTTCGGCTTCATCAAAGCAACGTTGATTAGAAATGACTGTTTTGTCATTCACCACACTTCATTCGAGTGTTACTTCACTGCGCTAGACTCGACTAGATGCGACTACGAAGAACCACACGGCAAGAATGAGCGGCTGTGGACAATGGACTTGAATCATTCGGTTATAAAGAAGACAAAGGCCGCGAAACGATAAGCAAAAAATTTAGAACAACCTCATTTAATCTCATCAATATAAAATACTCATGATTCAAATCAAAACCCAACAATCGTTCGTTGTGTTCAAGACAACAAAGGAATAAAAAAGCTTGATGAATGCTAGCCACATGACTTGAACGAGCGGTAATGACATCGTTGTCACAGAATCACTCTGCACTTCTCTAGAGAAGTAAAATGACCCACTTCTTAAGCCTCAACTATAACCGACGAACTCCAACAGGAAAGTTGGAATGAGATAAGGCTGCTTAACTTTTCCTATAGGCGAATTTCTATCAAACGATGCTTACGATAACTTTTTTGATCTTCGACAAACACGGTTATTCAATAAAAACGGTTTCAATCTTTGCAAAACGATCGCAACAGGAATGTACTTTCACGAAATGATATTCCGCAAAAAATACAGCACATGTATCCAAAGCTGATCGAAAAGGAAAAGCCATCCCATTCCTTTGCGACGACGATGCACAACTCTACGTTGCACAGGAAACGATACAAAGTTGATTTGTTTGAGCTACAAAACCTTTCCTCACCTATTCTACTAATCGGATCTCTCTCTAACTAAAACCACTTTTTCAAGCAACTAGAGTTGACAACTAGAGTACGAGAAGACCTCCAGAAAACAAAATACTGCTAAAAATGCTTTAGATGATTCTTGAATTCCCAGTTAACGAAACAAACAAATTGTATCTTATACGAAAAATGAGCAGACTCAATCGGCTCTTCCAGGGTTAATAAAGTTTTGTTTGAGTTGAGTTGCTGCACTTCAAAATTATCGTTCAAAATCGGTTACTATTTGTGCACTAACCTGTGGAAAAAAACTGTTTTCGAGCATTTTGATGAACTAAGCCAAATAAAACGAATCAACTCACATAGTCATTTTCCAATTGGGCAAGCTTATCGAGTGCATTACGAACCATCTACAACAAATTACCTAGATTTGCATTCAGTCGAAGAAATAAAGAAAATCCAAAGGAAAGAAATTTCCTTGCCCTCTGATGTAAATCATTTCTTGGCTCCCTCTCAATTTAAGTGACTCTACACAACAGGGGTTCTCGTTGATGAATAAACCAACTGATCTGCTACTCTTTCATTTTTCTCACGCAGATCAGTTACCACAACGACTACCAAAATTATTTCATCCGTGACATCAAAGGGAAACAAACCCTTGAAACGGTGTTTAGTCATTTCCTTTCAAGTGTTCTTCAAAACTGCGTCAAATCCCTCCCTTCCCTTCCCGCGTTTCCTCCATTATACACTTCCTCCTATTATTAAATACCAAGCAGCACGTGTGGCGTAGGGATTAGAGGTACTCTGCAATATACACACGACCGGACGTTGGTTCGATCTCTCCCGCCGCCCAAGCTCATTAAAGTTTCCAATCCTCTGAGGTAAGCAAATCGGTGCCGTATTTTTCAAGGTGGATTGCGAAGCGAATTGATAGTGTGGTAGTTCACCGAAAGTAATTGTATAGGCCAAATTCGCTTTCATTCATCTCTAACGATGCTTAGTGAACATGCAAGGCGTATCTCTAAGGGATGAATCAATGATGAATGGTTTATTCGTTTACCTTTCACGCAGAAGGGTGACCGGAACTGTAATACCGTTTAAAAAAGAAAAAAAAAGAATAAAGCTTTTCGCGTTGATCAACACCTGAGGAATACGCTATGCACTCGACCTTATCAAGCATTTTATAATTTTGTAAATATGAGCAGAAGAACCAGTGAAGTCATTAATAGCAATAGAGTGACAACTAACCCCATCATAAGGAGCTCGTGCAAGTGATTTGGCAAAATATCGAGTCGCAATATTTGTTTCTCCAAGGCACGCATATGACATGGCCATAGAGGACATGGAATGCCAATCCAGAGGATTCATTAGTAGTGCTTTACTGCAATCAAACTGTTGCTATAATGACATTCACAAAGCGGATAATATGTGACGATGGTAAAGTGTGGACACTGAGATGTGTAAATTAAAATCATATCAATCACGTGCAATTTTACGGCGGAAGACTGGGGTAATTACTAGGTCGTTCAGAAAAAAAATAAGCAATTCAAAGTATTTATTGTTCTAAGGTGTTTCACTTTTTCTAACCACGTTTTTATAACTTATACAGTGCTGAGATATTTCAAAAACTCCAGACCGCAGGTGGCTGCGATGGGGAACGAACGCGCTATTGCCCTTTCCGGGAAGTAACGCGTTCACCCCTACACCATGCGGATCCTTTGATTAACCTGTCTCTCAGCTAGCTCTAACGATCACTTGCCATCAGCAATCACCTGTTAATGGGATTGATCTGGGGAGCCCAAATCAGCATTGAACCCAATTAAGCTGAGGCTACAGTTACAATCTCTCCGGACCGCAGGTGACACGTTTTTATTTTTTTTTTTGTCAGAAGTTAAATTTTCTTTTACCAGTTTTGAACTTTGCAATGTTAGATGTCAAAAACGAATTTTCGTCAGATTTTCTTTTATGGGTTCAAACTCGGTCGCAGTGCAGAAGAGACGGCTGGAAACATTAATGAAGCTTGGGGTGAAGATAGTGTTGGTGAACCAATAGTGCGAACATAGTTCCGGAAATCACGATCTGGTGACTTCGAGCTCGACGATGAAGAGGGACGCGGACGTCACAATGAACTTGACGAAGACGAAATAAAAGCACTAGTGGAAGTAAACCGGAAGCAAACGCACCAACAACTGTTCAAGACCTTGCAGAACAGCTTGTCATAAGCACAGGAACAATTTCCACCCACTTGAATCGCATAGGAGAGAGAGAAAAACTCGACAAGTGGGTGCCGCACGAACTAAGCAATCAAAAAAAAAAATCACCGCTTTGAGAAGTCGTCTGCTCTTATTCTTATTTAACAAAAACGACCCTTTTCTTGACCACGACAACCGGCGACCTTCAGCTCAATGGATGGATTGCGATCAGGGTCCACAGCACTTCGTGAAGCCGAAATTGCATCAAAAAGGTTATGGTGGCCCGTAGCCGAGCTGATCACAGCTTTTTGAAGCCGTACGAAACGATTACGGCAGAGAAGTATTGCCAACAAATCGAAGAAATGCACCGTAAACTCCAACAACAACGACCGGCATTAGTCAACACAAAAGGAGCTATCCTTCTTCACGACAACGCTCGGCCTCACGTTGCGGAACCAGCACTGCAGAAATTGGACGAGTTAGGCTACGAAACTTTGCCTCATCAGCCATATTCAGCACACCTCTCGCCTAGCAACTATCACTTCTTCAAGCACCTTGACAACTTCCTGTGCGAGAGATGCTTCACGAACCAAAATGACGCAAAAAATGTGTTCAACAAATTCATCGCTTCCAGAACTCCAGATATTTATGCAATTGGAACAAAATAAACTTGTTTCTCGTTGGCAAAAATGTGTAGATTCAAATGGTTTTTATTTCGAATAATAAAGTTTTGAATGAAGCAAGTTATAACACCTTAAATGATATAGTTAAAAACGCTCATTGACTTCTGAACAACCTAATAAATGCTCTTGTGCGACATAGACTTATGCTTCTCTAACTCCTTTCACTCTGTTCAAATGAACAAAATTTGAGATATACATCTCAAAGGACGGAGGTCGCTAAAAAATTCCGAAATGGAAAAAAAGCAAAGGTTCGAAAACTCTTGTGGTATAAATTAGAGTAGCGCCAGCCATACATTCACGACAGTCCTCAAGACATTCTCTTAAAAGAGCCGCATTCAAAGCTGAAAGACAGCAACTCATTTCTCCGACAGGCAAGCATTTCCAAAGAACATATAGGAAATAGTAAAGAATTAGAGATGTGAAGGATCTGCCTTACAAGCGTTGAGTTTACAAATCCATTTTTAGACTTTAACATGCTCACGTGTAGCACCGTAGTTGTGAAATAAAAAACTGACTTATGGAAAGCTATCGACTCCTTGTATTTGCCCAGCCTTCGGCTCACATGGCCAAGACTTGATAACAAGGGCTGCCAGAAACGATCGATTTGCCTAAGTTAATAGAATTGAAAAGGATTTCAAAATCAAAATTGGAACAATGGGTTAAAATAAAGACTAAAAAGCGTACTTGCTCATAACCAAGAAGGGGTTGGCATATTCCAATCCCACTTCGCCCTTTCCAACAACTGCCAGTAGCGCGTTATGAAAAAACTGCTCAGCTGCTGGAAATAATTATTTGAGTATAACGCATAACATAAAAGTCCGCGTCTTCAGCGAAAAACGTTATATAAATATACGAAATCAAGACTAAAACGGACAGACGCGCATCCTAACGCATGTAGCTGCTTGAAAACGCTTCAAAACCTTCGATGATTACAGTGGTATCAAGCAGTGTTGGTAAAAAGAAACCGTACTCAAACAAAGGCTTTTAACTTAGTACTGAGAAACGTCCGCTTACCATTTTTTAGGTATTTTCACCACATCACTGCAAACATAGCAATGAGGGCTAAGACAGTGGTACTTACTGCGGAACTTATTATATCGATAGTAATACGATCCACGTTCATGCATTATAATTGGATCACACGATTTAAGGCAGGACGCTTCACGGAGGAAGTCCTCTGCCATCCTTACACCAACTCTGCAATATTGCATTCCTATGTACATTTTAGGCTCATAGTGCCAGGGTAAAATACGGGCAGCCTGAAAGATTCGAGCTGACGAAAAGAAGAACAAGCAGTATTCGTCAACATTACCCGATAATAGCAGTTCAGCGCTTGTTCGTTTTCACACTCGGTCGCTAAAATATGACCATAAGCTATCCACGCCTCTCCAAAAGCTCGTCTCATAAGAGCAGCTTTATCTAAAATCCTAGTGATTCTATAAATCCGTTTGAGAAGCAATACGATACCTCACTTATAAAATTCTTGGCAGCAGCTATGTTATTGCATGTGAAATAGTAGACAGCAACTACGTACCTAAATAACGCCAAAACTTCATCGTGCAACAATTAAATACTTCTTCAAGCAACCAGGAAATCGCCTACCAACTGTAATGATGATCAGGGAAGGAGAGCACAAGTTCATGGGCTAACAAAAAGAGTTTCTTCCAATCTTGAAAGTAATGGAGACAATTCGCATGCAAAAGTACACAGTCCTTTAAAAAATCGACGATAACATCAACAGAGAAATCATGAATAAACTTGAACGTCTACAATATAATCGCGTAGAAAAACGAACCATATACAAACCATGTTCCTCCATTATCGTAGTGGTAGCAGCCAAGGCTCTAGCAACATCACCATTTATATATAACCTGTGAGCTAATTCTGTCCTTTGTCGTGGGTCACGTGGATCCCTTCTTTTCGCTACTTTCTCCATCTCAAATAACATTAACAAATTACTGTGCACTACAACTTCAATGATGCTGCGATATTTCCAAAACTCCGGACCGCAGGTGTATGTGGTGGGGAACGAACGCGCTATTGTCCTTTCCAGAGAGTAGCGCGTTCACCACCACACCATGCGGCTCAACTGGGTTTGTTGCCGATTTGGACCCAACAGATCAATCCCGCTGATGGGTGATTGCTGTGGCAAAGATCGAAAGAGCAAGCTGAGAGACAGGCGAAACGAAGGATCCGCATAGTCTGGTGGTGAACGCGCTACTCTCCGGAAAGGACAATAGCGCGTTCGTTCCCCACCACATACACCTGCGGTCCGGAGTTTTGAAAATATCTCAGCATCATTGAAGTTGTATTTCGCAATATACCCTGCCATTAAAAAAAATAGGCAGTAAATAATAAATTGAAACTGTGTACTATAACTTTGCTAATGAGAATACTGGTATCTCTCAATGGTCTATTATCCGCGACGCATGGGAAATGTTCGCTGCTGCCAAAATGCTGTACAACGAAGCGTTCGTCCCCGGAAATATCAGATGAGTTTAGAAAGACTTGGATATTTCCATCAGGAAGTAACCCACTCCAAAATTTGGAAGCATCTAGTATTAGACATAAGAAGAATTCAGCACAGCTTTGTCAAGACTAGTCGAAAAATTCCAAATCAGCAGTCTACAGTTTAAATGGAAAATGTGTTACGCCTTGCATGTCAAAAGAAGCAATTTTATTTCTTATTTAACACTCCGCACACATTCTACAGTGTTAAGAAAGATGCCTTATCAATCACACAAAGTTCTTCAGCCAATCTGTAGAATGCTTCTAAACTTCTAGAATATACGAAACGAGTGCGATACGAAACTGATCTTCTCCGCTTTCCTTCAATATATCAAGGACTCTAGCCTCCTATATTCGAAATATTGTAGCCAAGTGGTAGTTTTTTGCAAGACTTTCTCAAATCATACGCGTCTGAAGCAATTTTGAAACTCACCAATCTGTGGCACGGATCACTACCTGTAGTTGGAACTAGTCTGTACTTCTTGAGCAACTGCTCAGCCACTAAGCAATGGCGGTCCTATAAATATAGGAATTAAAAACGATCAACATTGTAGGAATCGTGAATGTGATTTATGACATCGAACTACGACCACCTGCAAAAACGCAGCCGTCAAGCATCGAGTAGCAAAGTCTCGATTTTCCAGTAAAATATATGTGCGGCCGTAAACCACCATTAATGCAGAAAACAACTAAACTGATCAAACGTCTTCACGAATTGAAATGGAAACAGAAGAAATCAGGTCAGTGTGAAGATCGCAGATAAAAACAGAAGCTCACGGATACTTGATAAAAGCAACTGATTAGATTCCTAAATAGTCAACAAATAGGCATAAAAACCACCTTTAACGATGTTACCATCTTATTTAACTGCATAAAATCAATCACTGTTATATCCGCGCTCAAAGAATCCAAATAGTCTTCCAGCCCACAATGCACATCAGGGTACCGAACTGGCAGACCATCAGATGGCATCTGTATGTGACATCCAGGAATTCAGACAATCAACAATAACATAACGTAGCTAATGTGACAAAATTACCAGGTTTCCGATTGGTAGTTGTACTATCACTGAAAACATCCGAAGATGGTACAACGCGTTTATGTAGTAATAAGCAAACACAAGATGTTTCTTAACAAGGTGACGACTCAGTATGAGCTCAGAAATGCGTTTGTATTGTTGAACAACCGTGAGGTCCTGCAATAATTGACGGAACTAGGTAGCAAAGTGCTGACTATTTCAAATTTGGAACAGATATCAACAAGATAATTCATAGCTATCTTCCTTCCCCAAACAACATTAGTGGGAGAAACAGTATTCTCTTGCAGATTTTGCTTTTCGACGAGAATAAAAACACAAGCATAAACACATCTGGTAAAAAAGCGTCCTAAGAAGACGAAGTTTCTTGCTTATGTGAAACAATACGTCTCAATGTCATGGATATATTTGATTTTGTATTTATTTTTTCATTTTATTCGATCCGTCTTCAGGTCTTCTGTGCGGATCCCAGCACTTCCCACATTCGAATCGCTTCCTCTCATCCGTTGTCCACGAACATCCTCCAACTTTTACGAGTGGCTTCGGTTGCTGCTTGAGGAATTCCATGCCATCTTGATTGTCGTAAAATGCTGGTCGACCAATTCTCCCTAGAATCCAGCGGTAGCCGAGCTGGAGCGTTCCGAATTGGATTTCAGAAAGCGATTTTTCCCCAGACAAGTCCGGTGCTAGGTTCCCGACCACGGATGGATGACAGGCTTGGTTGGCCCGGAACGGAATCAAATTAGTACTATGCTCGTGATGACGGACATCACTACCAAAGTGCTTTCCGTCCCGGCTGATTTTATTGGTGACGACAATGTAGTGTATACAGACAGAGTGGAGCATGGTATAAACCAATACCAGGATCCACCACCGTTCTAGTAAAAAACTAGTCGTATGGTGGCAAATTTCCCTCTGCTCCACAAGGGAAGCGACCGTATGTGGTAGTGACGACCTGATGCAAACTTTGGCTAGGCTGATCTAGGGAATCCAGGGAAACACAATGGCTACACCAGCAAAACTCCGAAAAATGGAGATTATGCTGTGTTATGCACAATCAGTGAGAACGCGCCGTCCAAATACCCAAGTATCCAAGTATGTAGCATATATGCAGGAAAACAGTAGATCATGAAAGATTAGGATAGAGTCAAATGCGGATAAAATAGCAAAACATGCTCTGCCATTAGGGAGCTCACGATCTATTCATTAACCAATTGTACACAAAACTTCTTTTCGTCAAAAACCTACAACCGTCTACAAAATCTATAAGTGGACAGTACGAAATTGAACAAATAACAAGAGTGGCCAGCAACTATTTGCAATAAGTAAAAGTTCATTCAAAGAACTGCCATCGCCTTCGTGACGCTGTAATGGCTTATATACACTCCGAACACTCTTCATCGTAGCTATATTCAAGGAAAACGAAGAACGCCGACGTAGGTACGTCTACGACCGGGATCTTATCCATCACCTCGGTTGTGGAAAAAACACTTCACATAACTAGCAAGCACACTGGAAGTTTTGTGGCTGCCTCCAACAATTAAGATGCATCATATATCACGACAGCCCAACAAACAACCCATAACTATAGTTCCCAAGAAAAGTAGAAATATATGTATGAAAAGCAGTTCATATGAAAACTGTGGTAATCCACGTCACTGGATAGAACGAAACTGCTAGCACAGATCTAGTGGTCGAAAAGTAAGAATACTTTACTGTTGCTTGTTTAAGTCATTCCATGAAATGGTGTAACTTATACTATAGTTGACATTACTAGTTTATATTTGCTATAAAGGATAACGGATAAAGCTATCGGCGTTGATCAATCCTTTAGGGATGCGCCATGCATTCGACTTCATTAAGCATCGTTTGGAGGTGATTTAATGCATATCTGTCCTTTACAATGACTCGTCGTGATCTACCGGTGTATCCAACTAGTGCTGCTATCCTCTCAGACAAGTTTGGTACCAATTTGCGAATCCCGAGGGAAGCTTGGTGGGCCATGGGTGCTGGGAACGATTCCACGTGTGTGTTGCAGGGGGCATCCGACCACTGCGCCACACGCGCCCACAGATCCAACGACACTTCTTGAAGTCAAAGATGCACATTTCTAGCACTTAAATAGGGATTAGAAATAAAAACAAAGCTTAGAACGAATGAATACGTATAAATAATAAGTGTATTAAATAATAACGAAGAGTGACATACCTTAATGTACTGTGCAAAATCAAACAGACTAAAAGAGGCTTCGCTTTTCTTCGCATACAAAATATCAATCCAAAATGTTGCAGTTTCATAGTCACCTTGGCTGATATACCGCCTTAACAGAAAACAACAGCAATGAAGGCGGAACTGACACTTCAGATGACGAAATAAACAAAGACTCGTGAATCACTCACGTGATCAAAACCTTATGATCGGTCTCACTAAGAGTACTGCGTTCCATCTCTTCTCGATAACTAAAGAACATTAATTTCTCTATACCACTGTAAAACTACGCTTGGAAATACAACAGAAAACTTCCTATATCGAAAAAGGAACGAAGGAAATAAAAAAGAAAGAAAGAAAGAGATGAAGAAAAGAAGACGTACTCTGTGAACGCCGCTGCCGAAGAGGCTGCTAGGGCATTCATATCAGTTGTTATCATTAAGAAGCAACTTCCTCACCGTGTATTCACACGTCTGAAAACCACTGCTCGATAGTTAATACTTGAACGGCCCGTCCTCACCAGCTGTGCGGGCCCCAGTATAATCACTGTTTTTCGGAGATTTGCTTGTTAAGCCATTGTGATTCCCTGGAATCCCGAGGACAGCCTAGCCAAAGTCTGCCCCAGGTCGTCACTACAACAGGCAGTCGCAGCCCTTGTGGATCAGAGTGAGATTTTCTTTTACTCTTAGCTAGGCTTCCTGATGGAAACGCCGGAACTCCTTCTCAGCTTGGGAGACCCTGCCGTGGAGACGAATCACCCCGATGTACATCGTAATCCGACACCCAAGAACACCTCCCAGCCACGATGAGGCGGTAAACCGTTGGGAAATTCACTACTATAGAAAAATAGTTTAGATTTGCAACTTAACGGCTACAATCGAGCTCAAAGCTATGTTCAAATGAGAAGGCACGATAAAGTCAAACAGGTATTAACGAACAATTAACTAACTAGATGTCTATGTCCTTCTCTCTAAGATCTCCTTGTCTAACTACTTAGATGTCCCTTAATTAGAACAGTTGCCCAAGAGGAACGGAAAACAATCACATCTAAAAAGAATGCATGAAGACTCTCGTATCGTAACAGTAAGTCCCCACGCTTAGTCTCTGGTGCATGCTAACGTGCAAGACCTCTGACTTCCGGTACAACTCGTCCGCCGTCCGAGCAACTCACTATGTACGACCATCATGGGCGGTGCTAGTTTTTCAATGGCACAGCTATATAGATGAAAACCTGTCCTGACCCCACACATCGTCTGGGTCCTGAAACCTTGGTCCACCGAGCTGATCAAGCTCATACTTAGCCTCGGTTCCAACGTTAGACTTGCTTTTCTCACTAACATGGTGAATGCCGGTCGATCACGATCCGCTGGAAACCCGAGTCAGACGCGCCATGCTGGTATCAGATTGCTATTCGTATTCTTTTAGGATCTCAGCTATTGATAATGAAGACAGTGAATCCTGTGATTAGTTGACTGACCGCTCGAGGACAATGTGACAAACCTAATCCTTTTCGATAACGTATATATTACATGGTACTATTTACTAACACTTACTATGGTTCACTACACTACCACCACTCCCCGAAGAGCAGCTGGACGTGTTTTGCAATTTGTATCAAGTTCATTGTGGTATTTTCCATATCTCATCAGTGTACGATGCCATAACCGTAGCAAATGGAAATGAAGTAACAGTTAATTAACGGTCAAAAGTAGAACTTTATATGCCTTCATAAAGGTCGATTCTAGTTTCACAAACAACTCCGATTTTTCTCTTGTGACACCGAGACGACTTAAGGGCTTGACCTAAAGACCCACGTATGGAAAACTTTCCTCTATCTCTCTAAAGTTATGTACAGTATATTTGAACTCCTGTTCTAAACTTAAACCCATTACGAATTGAAACTCTCAATACCGACTTCTACTTAACACGAATAACTGGTTAAGCAACAAAGCGGTTGGAAATGTTGAGAACAACGTGGAACCTTCTCTGCTTCCCGTTGAAGAGTTTCTGGAATCGTTGGCTACTACGAGTACTACTTCCCATTATAACAAATTCGCACATCCTTTCGCCATATTTCCTTTCTAATCCGTGGTTTCAAATATGAAATTCCTCAAACATTATCTTAGTAAACCTTGCCTAAATATTACCTTCTATGGAATACTTCTCCATGCCAAATGTACTGCTTCGATCTGACTTTCACCGCAGCTCGATGTTAGGGTGTAGGCAACGAGGACTTTTAATGCTGATAACCATTTATGTCATTTCAACCATACATATCCGAGATAGATAGCTGTCGTTCCAGAAGAAAAAATTATGTGTTCAAGCAGCTTAGAGTTGATAAGGAAATTGTCTTCCAACTTTCCTCTTTTTTTTATAAAAAGTTTCTCGCGATATGCTAGGATATAATTCGAAGTGCTCAAACATCCTCACACTCATGTGTGTATATTACCAAAGCAAAGTTTCATTCGTACTTGTCGTGAGCCATAGATGCTCAGTGGTTAAGCTCACCTAGAAACATTTAGAGCACCATAATTCTTGTATGAAACACCCCTATTTGCAAAAGAGTAGCTACATGGATCAACCGAGCTCAACTGCGTAGTGTGGGTACCCGTATGGTTTGGGTATACTCACTGGTGAATCGTCGAGTTTCCCGGAATAGACACAGGCTTATTTGCTCAAAATGGCCTATAATCGTCTCCTAAGTACTTTAATGCTCTTGACACAACCCAAATGAGCATTAATATGGTTACGTGTAGACGGAAGGAATACATCAATACGCAGCAAGGATAACGACCTTACCTGCATCCTTATGTATGGACGAACGGTCAAATACAGGGTCACCGGTCCTTGTTTATTCTGTCAGCCTAAGTGTGGGGCATTCACTATTGATTAAAAAAAAACAACGAATCTCTCAATTTGGGACATTTCTGGCAACAAAATTTGAAACCAACGTATTCTCACTAGCCACAATAGCTTACCAATACATCCTAATAAAGTTTGACAGCCGATGAAATTCTTAAAGTTATTTCTATGCTGGCCTTCTTTCTCATCAAGGTTCTGGAGGCCAACTCAACATCTACTACCACATTTAATTTATCATATTGGATCATCACATCACAATATTAATCATTCAAAATTTTGCTCGAAATCTTTTTCCTAACATTCCACAATTGGTTTGCACCAAATTATAGTGTTCTGGAGTACTTTCCAGAAAAGCTACAAAAGCGCACGAGCACAAAGAGGAATGAAACATTGAATCCGCATTGTAGTTAAGCTTGCACCATTTCGACAAGAGTGATACCAGTTGCCGAGATCTACTTTAATGCGATTACACTTTACGAAAAAATTCCGAATACTTCCAGCTCCGCCCCAATTCAAGCATGGGTGACTTGGAAAGCGTACACAGCTTCGCTCACATCCGCACGACATTTACCTAACTTCATCAATTACCACAGAGTGTGGCTTGTTGGAAACACCAACTCTCATTCATGGTTGGTTCATAAAGTCAACATCTGCGAATCCCTCCCTCGTGCTTCACTCACGCGGGCATCAAATTCTGAGCACCAGACACTTTGTTTCGCTACGAGAGCGAACTCACGACACCTCCACCAGCAGCGAGGATTTGCTGCCTACGTCGCTTCAAAATGGTTGCACATTGCCATCGCCCGCCTTTGCGAGCGAAACGTGGACATAGCGTAGTGATAGCTTCGAAGTTGAATCAAGTGCTAACCGCTAACATACACACAGACCAACGCTCCAACCTCACCACTAGGGTGGAGAAAGCCAGCACAATAGATAATGCGACGATATGCATAGCAATACCCCAGTTTACCAAATAGTTCCACATAACTAGGAAAGTCAAGATCGTCGACCGTCGTTCAACCACTGCACACCAGTTACGACCCTTTCAGAGTACTACCGTTTCGAGTTCAACAACGACCTAGCCAAAGAATTCAAAAGACAACCACTATCACTGTGGACTGCCAGAACCTGAATTTATCCAAACATCAAAGGAAAGGAAAAGAAGCGCTGTGTTCAAGAATGATGATATTCTTGACTAGAAGCTATGCTCTGAATAAAACCAAAAATAATAATCTTACCAAAACCGTAAGGAACCCCAGGTTAAAATAACTCGAATATCAATACGGTTTGGTGCTGCATTACCAATACAAAGTTATCTACGGCGCTAAATTATTCTTTTATTCGTAACACCGTACATTGAAACATAGATTTCAAAAAATCTACGACACATACGCACGTGTTGACAGTGCTCTTACACACATTCAAAACCCACCCAATATGAACAGAACATTACGTTTAAAAAATTCCATTCCCATCTATTTTCTTCGAAGTCACAAAACCGGTTGGAAAAATCCCACTTCCCAAGGTGACAAAAACTTGGCGAAACTGATTGCCTTTTAGATTTTGGGCTTTAAATTTACAACTTTGACACCTATATTTCTTCATTGCTTGTCCATAAATACATCATCTCAAAAAGAAAGAAATTAGGGTAAAATTTTCCACTGAAATGGGCACACTACTCCGTAACCACTACTTTTATAATGCAGAAATACCACATAATCTACACTCGACTCGATAAATACAGAGAACTGCTCATGAAAGGATTCGAAAGAAAACAAACACTAGTGAAGCATGTTATCGACAAGCGCACAGAAACACCTGGAAAACGAATTCAAGAATGAGCACTGGATTTTGTGTTGCAAAATATCAGGGAGCAGAAGACACTAGAACAACATAAGTCGTCGAAGATACTGCAGACTGGTCCATGCATTCTCGCCGTAAAAAAAACGCTAGAACACGAAAATGCAACGAGATGGAACTGCATACAGCCGGATCTTTCTGTCAAGAACTGCAAATATCTACGTCGGCTTCAACTCGAGACTTGGACCTAAAGGAAGTTTTAGATTATTGTTGTTACGCTTTATTTACAGCACATGCACACCATCATAAAAGTGGTTGTTACTAAAAACGAGAATAAGATTAAAGTAACACCCGAAACGCTTTCTCTTTATTTCACACATGGATGGCCCGTCTTCACTGGATTGTGCAGGCCTTCGCACAATTTCCGCTTTTCCGGAGTTTTGGCGGTCTAGCCATTGTGGCTCCTTGGAGTGTCGAGGCCAACCTGGCCAAACTATGTCCCAGGTCGTCACCACCACGGCCAATCGCCGTCATCGTGGATCAGAGGGAGATTTGTCACCATGCGACTAGTTTCATACCTGGACAATGCTGGAACCTTGTATCGGTTTACTCTCAGCTAGGCTTCCTGATGGAAACGCCGGACTCTTTCTCAGCTTGGGAGACACTGCTAGGGGTTGAATCACACCACTGTACATCGCAGCCAGACACTCAGGAACAACTCCCATCCACGATGAGGCGGTAAACCGTTGGTACTCCTATCTTCTTTCTCTTCATTAA